GAAAAATGGGAATAATCCTTGGAAAAATGGGAATAACCCGCAGAAAAATGGGAATAATTCTCAGAAAAATGGGAATAATCCTTGGAAAAATGGGAATAATCCTTGGAAAAATGGGAATAATTCCCAGAAAAATGGGAATAATTCTCAGAAAAATGGGAATAATCCTTGGAAAAATGGGAATAATCCTTGGAAAAATGGGAATAACCCGCAGAAAAATGGGAATAATTCTCAGAAAAATGGGAATAACGCCTGGAAAAATGGGAATAACCCTCGGAAAAATGGGAATAACGCCTGGAAAAATGGGAATAACCCTCGGAAAAATGGGAATAATTCATAGAAAAATGAGAATAATTCTCAGAAAAATGGGAATAACTCTCGGAAAAATGGGAATAACCCGCGGAAAAATGGGAATAATTGTCAGAAAAATGGGAATAATTCATAGAAAAATGGGAATAACCCTTGGAAAAATGGGAATAATTCATAGAAAAAAGGGAATAACTTCCAGAAAAATGGGAATAACCTTCAGAAAATTGGGAATAACCCCCCAAAAAACGGGAACAACGTCTGGAAAAATGGGGATGAAATGAGGCAGGAATTTTGGAAGGCAGGATGTTTTTATTAATTTGTGAATTTATCGCTCCCTCAGAGAGGGCAAATCCCCAAATTTCACCGAAAAACTCCCAAAAAATCCCACCCAAAACCCCAAATCTCACCGAAAAACCCCAAAATCTCACCCAAAACCCCAAATCTCACCCCAAATCCCAAATCTCACCCAAAAATCCCAAATCTCACCCCAAAACCCCAAAATCCCACCTCAAAATCCCAAAATCTCACCCCCAAATCCCCAAATCTCACTCAAAAACCCCAAAATCTCACCCCAAACCCCAAATATCACCCCCAAAATCTCACCTCAAAACTCCCAAAATCCCACCCCAAAACCCCAAATCTCACTCAAAAACCCAAATCTCACCCCCAAAACCCCAAAATCCCACCTCAAAATCCCCAAATCTCACCCCAAAATCCCCAAATCTCACTCAAAAACCCCAAAATCTCACCCCAAACCCCAAATATCACCCCCAAAATCTCACCTCAAAACTCCCAAAATCCCACCCCAAAACCCCAAATCTCACTCAAAAACCCAAATCTCACCCCCAAAACCCCAAAATCCCACCTCAAAATCCCCAAATCTCACCCCAAAATCCCCAAATCCCACCCCAAAACCTCCAAATCTCACCCCAATTCTCACCCCAAACCCCCCAAATTTCCCCAAATTCCCCAAATCTCACCCCAAACCCTCAATCCCCCAAATCTGACCCCAAATGCCCCAAATCCCCAAATCTCACCTCAAATCTCCCCAAATCCCCCCCAAATCCTCCCAAAATCTCACCCCAACCCAAAACCCCAAAATCCCCCCCAAAACCCCCAAACCCCCCCCCAAAACCCCCAAATCTCACCTCAAAACTCCCAAAATCTCACCCCAAAATCCCCAAATCTCACCCCAAAATCCCCAAATCTTTCCTCAAATCCCTCAAAATTTGCCAAACCTCACCCCAAAAATCCCCAAACCTCACCCCAAAACCTCCAAATCTCACCCCAATTCTCACCCCAAACCCCCCAAATTTCCCCAAATTCCCCAAATCTCACCCCAAACCCTCAATCCCCCAAATCTGACCCCAAATGCCCCAAATCCCCAAATCTCACCTCAAATCTCCCCAAATCCCCCCCAAATCCTCCCAAAATCTCACCCCAAAATCCCCAAAATCCCACCCCAAAATCCCCAAATCTCACCCCAAAAACCCCAAACCTCACCCAAAACCCCCAAATCTCACCCCCCAAACCCCAAATCCCAACCCAAACCCCAAATCTCACCCCAAAACTCCCAAAATCTCACCCCCAAAACCCCAAAATCCCAGCTCAAAATCCCCAAAATCTCACCCCAAAAGCGCCAAATCTCATCCCAAACCCCAAATCCCAACCCAAAACCCCAAATCTCACCCCAAAACTCCCAAAATCGGACCCCCAAAATCCCAAAATCTCACCTCAAAATCCCCAAATCTCACCCCAAATCTCGCCCCAAACCCTAAATCCCCCAAAATCCACCTCAAATCTCCCCAAAATCCCCCCAAAATCTCACCCAAATCTGACCCCAAATCCAGCAAATCTCCCAAAAAACCCCAAACCCCACCCCAAACCCCCCAAATTTCCCCAAATCCCCTCAAAATCCCCCAAATCCAGCAAATCCCACCCCAAATCCCCCAAATCCCCAAATTTCCAAAATCCCAAAAATCTCCCAAAACCCCAAACCCCGCAAATCTGACCCCAAATTTCCCAAAAATCTCTCCCCAAAGCCCCCAAATCCCCCCCAAATCCCCCCAAAATCTGACTCACCCCAAATGTCCCCAAACCTCCCAAATCTGACCCCAAATCGCCCCAAATCACCCAAAATCCCCAAATTTCCAAAATCCCCCAAATCTCCCCAAACCCCCAAACCCCACCCCAAATCTCCTAAAAATCTCACCCCAAATCCCCCCAAATCCGACCCCAAATCTCCTCAAAATCCACGAATCTCCCCAAAAATTCCCAAATTTCCCAAATCCCCCAAGTCTCACCCCAAATGTCCCAAAATCCCCCAAATACGGGACAGCCTGGAAAATTGGGAATAATCCGTGGAAAATTGGGAATAACCTCTGGAAAATTGGGAATAATCCTGGGGAAATTGGGAATAATCCTGGGAAATTGGGAATAATCCTGGGAAAATGGGAATAATCCTGGGAAAATTGGGAA